GGCACTTTTTTCTTCTCTCATGTGGAAATAGGTAACAAGTTTCTGTTTAGAATCTGGAGCTTGATTTTATCGGGCGCTTTTAGCTGGGGCCCATCTTTTCTGATAAGTCACCTAACCTCTGTTTGTAACTGTTATATTTGTTTGATGCACTAACCAAACAGACACAGCGACGGCTGGTTTGCCTAGTCAATGCTTTTTTCCTTTTAGCGTAGCATAAGTCTACCGTTTTTCAATAAGGAGAATTTTTTATGTTTGGCAGAACATTAATTCAGCGAAGGAAGTGTAGAATAAAACTGTAACAGCATATATATATATATATATATATATATATATATATATAGACTACCCTTTTCAGGTGCACAACCCGCACGTCTGTTCCAAACGCGATGGTTTCGGAGCAAAGAGACTGAGAATTCACGGGCATTCTCTAGCAAAAAGGTTTGCGCTTTCTTTATTGATATTCCACGACTTTGCTGGTGCAGCTTTTCTCGACTTCCTTGTGTGAAAGTTACGCAAGCTAATTCTTGACAAATGCTTTGCCGCTTTATCGAAGGTACTAAGCCTCGAGTCACATTCTTGCTCGCCGTGTTTCATAACGAAATTTCTGTTCGTCAGAGTTGAATACAGATGCAAACTGTCACAGAATTGGATCGAATTCATGGTTGCATGTATGCAAACGACGACGTTTTTTTTGCAACATTCGCTACCGCCATTTTGGCAATCAACAGAAACTTCATTTGTAAAAAGCGCCAATGTTGACAACAATCATATTTTGTCCGATTTGTGCAACTTGCTTTCAGAATTAAACGAGGTGTAATTGCTTTGGTTGTGATTTAAATGTACTCTACGTACAATATTCATGAATTGAAAACTGCTTGAAAACACTTTTTGGCAAGGTTTCTGGTACCCGCCTACGCGAAATGTAATACACTTGGCTTTGAGTCATTATTCACAAATTTTCGTGCTGCATACATCTTGCGGTTTGGTTTTTTGCGAAACTTGTCTTTATCAAAACAACTGTAGGGTTTGAAATCTAGGACTGAGTTTACCAAATTTGTTTTGTTTTCGTAGCAAATTAGAAAAGCCATTAGTCAAAAGAGAGCACTCCGATGTGCACAAGAAGTCCAGAATGTAGCAGATTTGCTGAGCCAGGATTCATTTGTAAACGAGGAATCTGTATCGCGTTTTACTCAAGATACTATTTACCGTGACAAATTAGCCGCATAATATTGATCACACTAATGAACTGGTGATGGTTCAAAGATGTTCTAGAAAGCCCATTTTGAGCAAATTTGATACATTTATACCCAAAACAAGCATGATTCTATCTGCACCTCTTCCATCTCTTTTATGTAGCACAACAAAGAATTCAACCCTTTTGAAGATTTCCTGCATTAATTTGTGCAAGTAATGCTTCGGAATTAGTTTGACTTTCGCGACTTTCACCTTCTTACAAATCGCGCCTAAATACACAATATGAATTAATCTTTCGTATGGCGTACTGAAAAAGTAGACAGTTATTTATAGATTGTTCTGTGTTATGACTATGACAATGCTTTTGAAAAAAATAGAACGGTGCTGTAATCATTGCAAAAACTCCCATGAATAGTCTAAAAATAGTTGAAAATTTTTCCTACCCAAACACAGTTATTTATACGTGTACCAACTTTCAAAACACTAAAAAATAGATCGAATGTGTTTCCTGACCTCACTGTAGTCCAATTCATTATACTTGATACCCATACTATCACATACTATTACTGTTTAACCATCCCGATGGATTCTTCGCGGCGAGCAGGTTTGTTCACTCTCAAGTTCGAAAATGACCATGCGCAAATCGTATTTAGCCTGCTTCTGCTGTTCCAATAACAGCCACAAGTTTCTCACATGTGCATCATCTGCGCTCTGCTTTCCCTCTCATGCTACTTTACCCTAAACAAGCGTCCAATAACTACTTCTTCTGTGATGTTTGAAGCGGGTAGAAGAGCGAGGAGCGATCTTATGCTATCTCGCTTCTTACCTGTCGCAGGCTGGTTCAGTGTATCTTCAGTGCACGTATGATCGCATAAGCCAGTTTCGAATGTTTCTTACTTGGTGCGAATAAGTCGTTGTTTGCCATTCGTATTGAGAAGCCAGGATCGCCATCCATTTGGCACCGTTGGTAAAACGGGTGTCAATGAGCAGCTGCGGCGTAAGTAAAGTGTTCGGAACTAAGTTTTGAGGAGCGCGGATTCTACGGCCACATTTCGACGGACACTTCCAAAAGCTCTCTTCCGGATCGCCTTGTTTCTCTTGTTTTCATGTCTCCTCTAGAAGTGGACAAGTTTCCTAGACGCTTGTCCAACTATGTTGGGAAATCTCTGTGGAACTTACCACGGAGGGTGATAGCAGGCACTTCATATCTTATCCAAATGCAGTTCATCAGATAAGCATTTGTGATGATGACCAGCGATTAGGTCATTTATGTTCGCATGTTATTTCAAACATTGCTTCTGCTTTCTTAAAATCGTGATTCGCACTTGACCTTTCTCCACTGATGAAATTGTAGATTTTGCACCAGCACAATCAGTATTAACTGGTCAGATCATTGCAGCGCAACAAAGGTATTTAAATAATGTGTGAAAATAGTCAAATTATCGCTTATCTTCGTTGAACATTCCAGTGAATGCGCAGTTGATTGTCTTTCTATGTATTGTAAACAAGGAAGACTCTACGTTTAACTGCAGTGCGCTTTCTGCACATGTGCACATCTGAAAGACTTCTTTCAAAAGTGCTCACGTGTAATTGTATTGTTCTTGTGTGAGTTGGGAAAGGCTTGCAGAATGGAGTTAGTTGCTATGGCCTTCGCATAGAGAATGTTCCTTTCCGAACTGAATGGTTATACCTCAAAAAGTCCTGTGCCATGTTTCCCAGTAAATGGACAAGCGCTAAAAATTCCTGGACGCTTATATATAGCAAAAAATTGCGTAGACCCAAAATCCACAACCCAACAAATCGTAGCCAAGCAGTGCGTAGTAAGTGCGCTATATTATGTAAAAGCTTCCAGCATCGACGAAATTCATGGCAACGCTTGAACACTAATGATATATTAAAAATTTGATACATGTGTAGATTATTGAATAGAGAATAAGACTTTTGCCTTTTTCCAGTTTTAATGAAAAACTTGCATCAATCTGATTAAAATTGCTTGTTCTTAACAAAACATTTTTTTCCAAATAATCATTATACTAGCAGATATCATGGCAGTGATTAGGCTTCAATAAAAGAACAGCGGCGATTGCCTCATGATCACGCTGCAAACGATATGACGTGGCATTCTTTGAGACATTATATGACTCCTGAAATTTTCCAAATGATCAAGGTCTAGATGGTTTTTGTAGTAAGCATGATACCTCTATCTTAATAGTGAAATACCAGGTATACAAATTGGTTCCACGAAGGAATGGGCGTTGTACATCGCAGAATTCTTCTCCAAAAGTGGTAGTGTGGGTCTAGAAGCATGGAGATAAGATGACGTATACAGCATGCTTTTTCGGAATAGAAAAACGGTAATAAACTCGCTTTCGTAATGCAGTCAAAGTTGCCATTGTCCGAACAAAAGTGAACATTGAGCACAGTATCTTGTCCAGAAATATTATACCTGGAAATAAAATCTAGCAGCAATTTTCAAATTTCTGGATATTGAGCATGAATAGAGAGGGCTTCGGAATGGCAGTATGCATGCTATTTTGTAGCTCTACTAGAGCTCGCTATCCACAGTAGCACGATTCATGACACGCAAAGACTGGGCGCCGTTGCGTCCGTTCAAGATAGTCCATGCATAGGAGAGACAGCAGACGGTAAGGGACACAGAAGAGCGCTCGATCGGAGAGACGCCGATGCTTCCGCAGTCTTTGCGTGCTTTGAATCGCCTATACATGATATTTTTTATGCTTGTCGATTATTTACTTCAATACAAACGAATTTCTTTATTCAGATCGAACCTGTATCCGACGCAAAAAGCATATTCTATCCATTCGGCATCAGTTTTGTAATATGTCCTATTTACTCCGTCAAGTACAATATGTCTCAGCATTGCAGTCTTTTCCTCCGGCTTGACTCCGCTGTCTAAATGCTCTACTTTGAGAGCTTTCTTATAAATTGTCGAGAAAGCGTACAGCCTGCAGGTCGAGATAGTGGCTTCTTTTTCTTGCTTCGCGGTAATGCTGCTGGTTGAGGAAGGCTAACACTTCTTGGGTAGCGCTTTTCGCATCTAAAATAAGTACAAGCAAATAACTATTTCAAAAGACGGACATTAGTTAAACCGACTTTTCGTGACACTCCTCTTTGGTCAAAAAGTTGTTTCCACTCTTGCCACAGCCAGTATAATGAAACCCTTTGCACTGTCTGGCTCTTTTGTTGAAGTAGTATCTATAAGTGAAAATCGAACCCTCAACTGCTATTTCAACAGATTATCGAAAAATCTTGGGAAATAAGCGATGCTATCTCGCTGTAAACAATGCTGTGAGATATTCTTCAGACATTGTGTTTTAGAGCTGGTCAAATTCTGTTTGAATTAGTGCCTGAAGCCCATTCTGCAAGCAATCAAGAGTGTTTAGACAACTCGCTTCTTCGCTTTGCAATAAAATTTCGAGAAATTGTCTCAAAATCCGCTTAAAACATGCATTAAGACGCTTTTTCAATAATCAAGTAACAACTATGTACTTTAGATGTACTTAATGTTTCTCTCATGTAAAAAGACATATAAGACAACTTTGCTTTTCTTATGCACAGATCAAGAAATCAGCAGATAGTGAGCGCTAGAGATTTTTGCTGATATTTATATGAGGCGATTAAATTATGGTTTCTCCAAATTTTTCCAAAAAATGATAAGTGGTGCTACCATGCTCGCCCTTATCCACACTTACCTATTAGACATCGCTTCACACCAGCTACCTCGATCAAGTGGTTCCATACATGGATCTGGAATAAAGAATACATAAAACATTATTAGCATAATCATGATCCTCGATAATGGATAGTACTCAAGTCAAGCTTTTGTTGCAGTAGCCTACCTGCACCAGATACCTCACAAGTAGTTTGGCAAATCTCAAACGTCGCGAATCGATTGGGATTACCGTCACAACCTTTAAAAAATAAACAAGGTAATAAAACTTCATAAGTGGAGCCTTTTCAATGCAAACCTCCGTAGAGAAATTGGTCGCATGTTCCACGACTTTGATTATAGAACCACATATATCGCAACTGATTACACGGGCCACTGTCGGGATCGTATGAGCATACGCCTGAAAATTAATTCCATCTGTTCTTATTTAACTTTCAGTAACTTTTCTAAACGGTTGTAAATTTACTGAATATAACTTACCTGCGTTATTACTTGCTTTCTTTCCTTTGCAGGTCATTTCACAATCCATTTCTGTAGCAAATCTAAAAACACCGCTTGAGCTATCAACATGCGCTAATACTGGAATGGCAACCTATTCCCATTTCCTCCACATCCACTGTACGTAAATTGAGCACATCGAAGTTGAGCAGTGTAAGTCCATCTCTGTGGTGAAGATCGTTGAACAATCATTATTAGGATAATATCTGTGCTGATCATACCTGTACAGTATGATTTGCATTTCCAGCACATTTACCTTTGTCACCAGGAGGGAGGAAACACACTGAAAATTAGTGATAAGTTCTAAATTACACACATTGGAGTAGCGAGTAAATTTTTGTCAATTTCCAGCAAAAGTTCAAGCTGTTATTGAAAAGACAGTACAAGATTTACTTCGAGATACGAGCTAAGATAACAGCAGAATTATTTTTCGATTCTCGGTCGCATCTGCGTAAAACCCCCAAATAGCTGTTTGCCTTGAAAAGGGTAGGTATTTTCAGATCAGAAGGCTTTGACACTGACCGTGACCATCGGGTCTGAAACTTCTCTCTAATTTGTAGCTTCGAGAACGACAAGCTCTTTGACACACTTCGTAGGTATAGAAGGCGTTGGCATTCCCTCCACAACCGTGATACCAAAATTTTTGGCATTTTCCTGTAACCAGAATTTATTCGAGATTTGAAACACAATTCAGCATCTATATGCACCTTCTTTGTCAGAGTAATAAAAGCGAAAACCAGAGTTTTCCAAACACTTCTTATCACTGTTTCCAAAGCCTTCGTCCAATGGCAGAAAACAGTCCATCTCCGTGCCTATAATCAAGGTTGTTTGCAAAATCGGAGATTTCGGGCTAGTCAAAAATAAAAAAAATGTGTTTACTTGTCATGTGTGTAAAGGGTTCGCATTGGCCGATGCATTGAGATATCGTCATAAAACGATTTTCATTTCCGCCACAGCCGGAGTACGAGAATGGCTGACAGGTTTTTGTTTCTCTATCGAAGAAATAGAAAGGATAACTGAAAAGTTGGGATTAGCAGGATTGTTAGGGCTTGAAAATGACAGCTTACGTTTCCTTGCAAGTTCCAATTTCCCTCGGTAACAGGCACTGGTAGTTAATCTTTGAGTCAGGAAGCTCTTCATATGGTTCTGCGTCTAAAGTTTTGACCGTTTTTTTCTTGATAATTCTGATTTTTTTCGTCTCAATTCATGCAGCCTTGGATATGAATGCAAATAGATCTTTTTTTGTCTGCACTTTTACAATTTTTCTTTATTACTTTGTAAAACTTTTTAGGGCTAGATTTTCACCTGGATGTTCGCAAAGAGTTTGGCACGTCTGCAGGTTCTCAAAGAAATTTTGGTTTGCTGACGTGCAGCCGTCCCACCAGAATGTGGTACATGCACCTGTTCCTTGCTAAAAAGAAGTACATACGAAACTTGCTTTATTGTTCGGCAATAAATGCAAGAACTTACATCAAAATACGCCCTCTCCCTCCACTGACCACCCTCGCAAGATTCTTTGTATTGTTCGTCAAATTGATCCGTACAGTATGCTAAAAAGATTTGATTGATTTTATTTGATAGAAAATGGAGTTCAATATTTCATTGACCTGGAAAGCGTTCATCGCGATGTCTCTCGCAAGTCCACTGGCATCCATCCAAGGAAGGAAAGATATTCAGACCTTTGCTACGACAGTTTCCATACCTCAAAATAGAGCTAGCAAAATATTTTTATGGCAAAATAGAAAAGTTGTACCAAAACATTCGACAAGTCCCAGCGACTTGATCAAAGTAGTAATACTGTTTGTAGCGGCCATCAGCTGAACACGAGTCACGATAGGAATCATCGAATGGTTCCAAACAGGCCTCTGTATTATAGAATTTTCAAATATATCAGTGCTTTGGCAGAAACACACGCGATAATTCTTGACTTGGTGCTTCGCATAATTCTCGACAGTCTCCCATACCAAGAAAGATATTCTGGGATGATGACTGGCAGCCACCCCAGTGGAAATGCTCACATCTTTTCCTAGAATTATCTACGATTGACACGACAAAATCAAATAAACGCTCAAACAAACCTATCGTGATTGAAAAAATAGCGATCGCTGAATTCGCCATTATTGCAATCCTCTTTATACATTTGATCAAACTGGTCAAGGCAGCTTCCTAAACAGTCATCTTTCTTGTTACCTTTACTTCGTAATTTCCTGAGGCTTCGTAGTACACCGCACATTGGCTTCTTTCCTTATCATCTCTTTCGATCATGAAACTACGAATCCTATATACTCTTACAAGCATTTGTAAAGATTCAAAAGATATGCTCATTATTCTTGGGCTACTAACGCATGGAGATATTTTCGCAAGTTGGAACAGAAAGTAGTGATTCATTTGAGAAAAAATTTGCAGTATCACGGTGGTTGACAGTTAACTGTGTTTTGTGACGTTATTTGACGTTATTCTATACCGAAAAAAGCAATCTAAGGTATAGGTGAACTGGAAAGATTGAAAGACTTGTGCTTCAGCTTACACATTCGAGCGTACCTCAAAAATGATTTTAAGCGGTTAATTTGAGCACAATATTTCCGAGTTTTTTTTTTTCATCGAGATTACTTTACAATCAGTCGTTTATAATTTTGCATCAAAAGTTCTGAAAAATGAACATAGAGAAAGAACTTCTAAACTTTCGTTAAACAACAAGCTTTTGATTCGTGAGCTTGAGCATAAAGCACGTTTTTCATCGGTAATTGATTTTCATACCGTGTCTTTATCTAGTAAGCGAGTCAACACATTAAGCATCGGTCATAACCAGGGTCAAGCGTGGGGCGTGGCATGCCACATCTGGAAGGTTGCATTGAGGAGTAAGGGAGGGGGAGTCGTTATCAAGGTGGTCCTGATGTTAGCGATAACATGATATTCGTTAACATTGTAGTATAAGGCATTAGGCATTATTCTAGTATTTTGCTCATTAGGCAAAATGCTGGAATGATGATCGGCCTACCGTCGTACCCGTACAGTAAGCCTAATATTAGGTCGTTCCGAAAGTAATGTCGCTTTTTTCAAATGAACGCCACATTTAATGGAATCAAGATTTCCAAGAAATCTTAGGAGCATTCGATGCAGCATTTCATCCTCTTTCTAATGGTGGTAATTTCATTGCATAATTTTCACTGAGCTTTCGAAAAATTAGCAAAATCTGCAACTCATGCTTTTTGCCATGGTCAAGTTCGGCAATTTTTGAAAATTTTTGTACCTATTCTCCGAAGAAGTACAAATGGCAGGTAGATAGAGCAAACCCTATAGGACATAGCGTAATTTTTTTCTTGTCCTTAGCTTGCTTCTTAGAGTTTCTGGAATCAGTTTTAAAATGCCTCAAATTTCATATTTGGTCAACTCAAACCTCACAGAACAACAACCGGCAAGCAACTCGGGTGTCATTCGACGCAACTTTTTCTCCTCTTTTTACCAGTTGTTTTTGGTTTCCGATTCATCAAGTTTTCCGAGATGAAATCATCATAATTCAGGTTTTCCAGGGCGCCTCCGGCTGTACCCGGAATTTTTGGAAGTTGCTAATCTGAAGCGGTAAACGCTCATTTGCTCTGTAAAGTTAGTGTAAAACTATAATCCATTTTTGTAAGTTTCAAAATCCAAGGATTTCTTGGTGTTTGATGCATTTGTGTCTGAGACGAGCCTGCTAAAATTCGGTGGTTCCATCAAAAAATCTATACAGAAATTATGACGAGCTCTGAAAAGCAGAAAAAAGTTGTGGTGTTTTCTGTAGGGTGTGCTCCATCCATCCATTACTTGGACTCCTTCTGAGGTTTGTTAAAAATTTGAAAAAAATTGTGAAACTTGGCCATCTCAAAAAGCATAGGTCGCAGATTTCGACTTTTTTCTGGGAGCTCATTGATTGTATTGCAACAATTTCACAACCGTTAGAAAGAGAATGAAATGCTGCATCAAATGCTACCAGAATCTCTTACACATCTTTGTTCCACGAGATGTGGCATACGTTTGAAAAAAGCGACATTACTTTCGGAACGACCTAATAAAAGAATCCTAAAAGCATACGAGCATCGTTTTCGTATTAAGCATGTCAAATAACCCCTGTGGGCCAAGTTTCAGCGACTTGAGGTTTCCAAATATTGGGCCACTCAAGTGAGATGGTCATTTTCGAACGTGTCACCTTTGTTTCAAAGGTGAGCTGACTACTTCTCTTTGCTCTTCTTTGCCTACATTAGATATTTTATTTGAAGTAACCTCCAAGCTAAAGAATCAAGAGCAAGCTGAAATCTAGTGTGTTCCATTTTCGTTTTCAATATTTCAGATTAGAGAAGACCAAACCAGGTTCGATTCACTTCCGTGTGAATTTCGAAGCTTAATTTAACGAACATATTTATTTTGTCGCCTTCCCTCGCAGTTCACGTAATAGCGCAGACCTAGCATCTTAGCGTGACCCAGTATTTTTGCAATATCTTCCATTTGCATAGGTAAATAACGACTGTATCTCTTCCTAGAAAAGACGATTTCAAATGAAATTTCTATTGTGTGAAGAAAAAGGCTAGGCAGTAGCAACGACATAAAAAACGCAGATTTACTTATGGTTGCAGGTAAGTTGATTGGCTGTGGCACAAACCCTAAAAAGGTGTGGCAGCCACAGCTTTTCTGGGGTTGGGTCACACCCCATTAACTTACCTCCGACGAGAATTTTAGCGAACAAGTTATATAAAGTTCTAAGTAGTTAGTAGTAGTTAGTATGTACGAATACGAACATTTGGACAGAATGAGAAAATCGCGAGTGTCCACGCCTCTCGGCTCGCATCGTGTGCCATCAGAACATAAAGTTTCAAATTAACATTGCTATTCTTTCGAAAGAAACCGACATTGCAGCACGAAAAACTATAGAGGCTTGTTGGATCACGTCCGAATGTCCTAAACTGAACAGAAAGGAAGAGAAAATGGCTATCAGCAGTGAGCTCGTCCCATTTTTATCATTGTGTGGATTTGAGTCTGACCTCAAAGGAGACCTCATTCCATCACAAGAGTTAGCATGTAGTGGTCTGACTAAGTTTCAGAGTGGTGGGCAGCCACTTGAAGTGTATCGCTGAAGGTATGTCTACCCTTGGAGCGTCGAATTTATTGACTCACTTCCCCTTCCCAGGTCTTGAAAAAGGCGACCCTGCCGAAACGTCGACCTGTTTACTGATGTGCTGATGTCGTTGTATTGAAAAACTGATAACAATCTTGGAAACGCTTACTACTTACTGAAACTAATTATTGAATATATAAAGTTCGTTAGCCAAAATTTCGTAGTTTTTGTGAAAGTGATTAGAGGTGAATTCGTCTTCTTTCGTTTGAGCAATAGTTACTGGAAGCACAAACGTTGTAAGCGCAAAATGGGACAAACGAGGTTTGGCTATCTATTATTCCATAGTTTCATGGTTAGGAGTGGTGCTTTGTAATGAGTACGAAACGGTTAGCTAATTCACTTTTGAAATATGGTTGATCATGTTCGAAAATAATTACTTCACTTGGGTGGTTTAATACTGGAACTCTCAGAGCTAACACTTGGCTTATGCTGGTTATTCGACATGATGATTAGGAATATGTGCCTAATTATGCATGGCAGAGCCTTTATGTTATGCCTACGGTAGGCTAACGAAAACGCGGCGAAGGGAGGGTCGTAAACGGGGTTGTAAATTGTATGTCACACCTTTTCCTCGACCTTGGCCATAACTCGCGCTTTTCTGCCAGATCGCTGTGTCACAAGATCTGCGAACTGCCGTCCGCGCGCAGATTTCAATTGCGTTGGGACATAGCTTTTGTAAATTGATGCAATAGTATCAAGTTCTGAATATGCAAAGTGCGCTTACAATGGATTATTATGCACAACGTAGCAGTGCAAGTCGCTAGGCGACTGAGATTTGAGATTATGACGAAAGCGCTAATTTTGTTACAGAAGTCCCCTCCATGCCAAAACATGGCTATTCATGGCTAGTCCATAGAATAATGCCCCGCCGATGTTGAGGCTTGATTGATGCGCTCTCAGTGTATCAGTTGTTTGATATAGTTCCTTGATGGAATGAATTTTAACAGCGACAAGTTGCTGATTACAAACTGTTCTTACCTGCTAAGCACTTCCTGTAAGCAATTATAGATTTGATGCACATTGCTGAGTCTGTTACGAACTTTCGCCTGCATGGAGGTAAAGCGGGGACTGATTTTTAGCTCAACTCAATCAATTTTCAATTGTAAAAAACACAAAAGAGCCGTTCACCTATATGCACAGGTGAGAAAAGAAACGTTTAAAGCAGCGATGCACTTGACCAATTTGAGACATTTTTGCTAAAATAATTATTGTTTGATCGTTGTCGTCCTAGCATAAGTTTGGGAGCACTCCACATATGCGTCGTAATCTCAAATAGTCTACCATTATTACGAACCACGTGTATGCTCTACGTTTATGCTGGTTTCGCGCACATTTTTTGAATAGTATCTACATAACTGTAGTCGAAATGATGTATAGCAGCTTTATGGCTTGTTTGTTTATTGTACAACAAACAGGGTATACAATGTAAACCATCTTCAAAACTTTGCAGCAAATAGTTTATATTTCAGAGAATCACTTTCCGCCCCAGTGCCAGAACCATTTTAATTAAGTTCTTGTCAATGACATTTGGAGATGTTCGAAGTGCTGATGATGAGTATGCTAATCATTTTGCATGAAAGTGCAATTCATGATTTCCAGTAGTCAGCCGTGAGCGCTCTTTTTCATCTTGAACCTCTCAGCAGCTGCGTGCGCTATGAGTTCAAAGCCATAAAGTCAAGTCTCAACCATTTTCCATCCTTTTGATAATATCACAAGTGGAGGTAGAAAAGAATGGTGGAGGGGGGGGGGGGAGTATGTATATAGGTAGTGGTATAGGTATGATATATAGGTATATGTAGGTAGGTATAAGTAATGAATCATTGTTTGTTGTTAATTTGTTTATAGCGAGACAGGCGCAATGCTTTTCGACCTGCCTGAAGAGGTAGGTGTGAGCAACGAGTACTCATAGTGGCAGAGCACGCTGATGTGTGGATGGCCCGTGGCCTAATAGTAGAGCGATTTGCGACGAGCAGCGGAAGTTCTTGTCCCGACCTAGTAGGGGTTTTTTGCGATGGAACGTGTGGCGGCTCCTCAACAACTATGGTGGCTCCATTAGTAGCGGAAACGAAGCTCTGATTAACGCACAGCTTTAGACTCCTATTTTCGTACAGATTAATACCGACCAGGAAATAAGATTTTCTAGTCCCTTCTTGCATTACTGTTACAGCACGCATGAGGATAATTCTGCATTGATTGCATATACTATTACACTGATACTATATTAATATTAGTACTAGCGCTTTGTTTTACGATTGCTTGAAACACTGTAAGTTCTCCTGAACCTACAGTGGACGAGAACGTGGACCTTAGTTGAGCGGACGCGAACGCGGCAACGCGCACATCTTCACCGCTATAAATCCTGCGCCTCTTGCACTTTGCGGCTAATAAAGCCGCGTTTGCGCCCAATGATATTGCACCTTCGTCATGCAGCGGCCTATACCTGTCTCCATGCGTCAAAAGTAGCAGAAGTAATGGGCTAATAGGTGACATACTTGAGGCGGGGTTTGGATGTGCGCCCATACATCGCCATTGGCAAGTCTTATGATCTTGGAAGTTATTTTGCGTCGAAGAAAAACAGCCGCCATGCCAATACATCCGGCATACACGAAGATCTCTGTCGTAGTAAAACCTGAATTTATAGAATATACAGCCTCGCAGCTGATTAATCGGATCGTGAAACAGTATCACCTATTACTCCATTCAGATCCGTTATTGCAAGATTTCGTCAAGTTTAGATCAAACGGCTGCAGGCATTCAGCTGAGAAAGCAAAGTTGATGTTAATTTGGTTATTTCCTTGATACTTTGTGTTTTTACGCACATTGAAGCGACCAGTTTTCCAACTTAAGATTATACGTATCAGTCTAGCTTAGTCGAGCGGAAAAGTTTAGTCCTTTTTAGTCACTTTTCTTCAAATTCCGGTTAACTGCTCTTTTTCTCTTGTCAAATCCTACATTTTTATGCTTTTCATTTCACAATGCATGACCATGGCGCTTTTAACAATAAAGAATCGCATTAAACAAAAAAAAATCCTAGGAACGCATTTGATAACGCTCATCTTTTTACTGTTTTCTTTAACATAATTTTGTGTGTGCAAATCGTAAAAACATTTATTCAAAATAGCCATGTGACAACAAGATACAAAGAAAGATTTTTGTACTGAAGCATGGCAGCATTGAGATACTCAAGCTCATGCATTTAGGCAGCAGTGGGTGTGTACTCAGCGATTGTCCCGTTGTTAGTATCGACAATAAGATAGTGAATGATCTCCATTAGTGATAGCGAAACCAGGAGCTGGTGATCACCCTACAAGAAAATCTGTGTAGCGAAAGAAAAGTTACTTTTATTGAGTTTTCATACACTTGATAAAGCTTTTTCCACCAAAATTCAAAGCTTTTTACTACATTGACTCAAGATTTTTGCAGTGGATATCTTTAGACGCATACTGCGCGCAAGAAGGCATTGTCAATATCAGAGTTTTCAGTGAAATCAATATAGCTTTTTACACTAACCGCGGGAAATTCGCTGAGTATGAATGTAAAAAAGTTTTGTTAGCATGAATTGAAAAAATACGTTTATAGGCAGCCCGTAAAGCCCAGTGGTTAAGTACGGTTTAGGTAAAGGCAAATTTATTTGCTTCTTAATATCTTTTCAACAAGACTTGATAAGCGGAAAAAACTTTGTTTCCTGTCTAAAACCTTACTAAAAACCAAAAATTGCGGTTAAGCAGAAGCCGAGATGCGCGATGATTGAAGGTTTGGCGCGCCAACTCTGTAATCGTTATTGCAAGCATAGGCTACCGCAAATAGATATATCGCCAAATTCTACAAATCCGTACTGCACCCCAAAGCGCTTTTCAAAAATATACATAGTATTATAATATAGGCTATTTACAAAAGCGTGAGGACGGATTTGACTACACTCTTCGCCCACAACAGCTTTAAACACTCGTACAAAAACGAATCATCTCAATGTTTAGCTCATTTACTTCCAGTTCTCAAGTATTATCTTACGCAAGCAGAAACACCAAATGAGTAGAGAAAAATCAAGAAAAGGCGGTTGCCGGAATGAGTGCGCGTCGCGCGATCGCGCCATCGTTACGATTTTCGAAGGCTCTATACATAAAATCGCATGAAATGTGAAGTGATATCAGATAGTGCTTTTTTGGTTTCTACTTCGTCTTTCTTTTGGTAAACCAAAGGTTTTACGCCCTTAATTTGAGTCTATGGGAAAATTCCAGCGCCAAATTACTCTAGAATTTTGCTAATGATATAAACATACATGCGATAGTGACCGGGAGATTCGTCAAGCTGCTATAGGCCAAGTTTTCTCGTTTTTCCAATTTATGTTTCACTAGCTGACTGTCCAAATCCGATCGAGACGCTAGACGAGCACTTCGCGTTGTGGCACGATTGTCACCTGTGGTATCACGTTGATGCAGTGAAAGTATAGATTTGTGTTCCTTAGGTGCATAAAAGCTGATTTCATCAGCAACGGCAGGGATCAAAGCGGGTGTTGGTGTGCTAGTGCCCCTAATGTAAGCGTGGTTGACTGATTTGGATGTGCTTCTCACAGCTGCTGTGCTTTTAGTGACTAATCTTGTGGTCAGCGTGGCATTCACTGTGAGGTAATAGTTAGGTTTACGAGAAAATCTCAATGGAGCTATAAAAGGAACATTACGAGGATGAGCGAGTGTGAAGATGGTTTCCGAAGAATCTGTGTGAGCTAGAGGATCATCAGCTGCCATGTCAGAAGAGTTGGAAATGAAGACTTGGGGAATGTTTTTTGGCGACATATCGGTGAGCTTTTGAACGGCAGATGGAAACGCAGATGGTGTTGGCATTAGCTGATGGCATGCTTTCTGGCATTCCTGTAAAATGAAGGTTTCGATTGGAAAACCTGACTGTTTCCACGTTTATATTTTGAGAATTAAGACTGTAAATCAAAGAGTTCAGATTTTCAATTTGAAAACCAAACCACAAAAAAAATGTAAGAAAGGGAAAATTTACAGTATTTGGGTATATCTCATTACTTACTGCTAAATTCATCCAAAGATTTTTGTTTCCTGTCATACAACCACCCCACCAAATTCGCTTACATCCGTTCTTTTTTGGCTCATAGTATGCTCGAACGATCCAGTTGTCACCCGCACAATCCTGAATGTAGTGCATACTGTACTGGCTTGCCAGCAATTTTATCAATTACCTCATCCCATTTGATGTCGTATCCTTGTAAGCAGATATCCGTGAGTTCACTTGTGGTCAAAGGAAACGGAGGCGATTTTGAAATAGGCGATTCTGTCTCATTAGTCTCAGCGGTCTTCATGGTAGAAACAGGCGTTAACTTCGGTGCAGTGTCCACTTTCCTCTCAAAATCGGTAATTGATCTTTGCGATGGCGCATCAGTAAACGTCATCGTTTGCGTAGTCGTTGTTTCCGGTTTTGTTGTTATCTTTATTTTTATTGTTGCTGTTCCTTTTGCTTTTTCCGTCACTGGTGATGTGTTTGCCTTTGTTGAAATGTTCGTCGTTGAAGTGTTTAAAGGCGTTGTCGGCTGCGAATCTACCGGCTCCGAAAAATTGTGGTAAGTTTCCATTTTCCTTGTGTGAATCTTTGTCGGAGTGACATAATAATGAGGCCTCAGTGAATCTGGGGTGACTGGATACTTGTGACCACAAGTTTTTTTGCAGCTCTGAAACAGCGGTAGATAAATACGAACTTTGAATACAAAATTTTAGTAATCACACCTTTATGTCTCCAAAAAAGTTTCTCGCATTAGTATCACAACCACCAAACCAGAAAGATTTGCATGCTCCGCGTTCTTTGTTAAAAAACCATCTAAGTTCCTGAAATATCATTCTATACGACCATATAACGTTTGCTGTATGTGTGTACTTGCCAGACGTGCGTACTCTTTTGACCCCATTTTCTTTCAGATAATTATCAAGTTCAATTCACTGCAGCAGCAGTACTTAATTTTCATAAGTATTATAAAAAAAATTACAGAGCAAATTTATCCAGCGTTTAGTAACTATAATCACGTTAGTCCTACCCAATTTTCGTTGTTACAGTCCTCTTCCAGTTTTGGATCTAACGGCTCATCACACAGATCCTTAGGCCGAGACATCTCCAAAAGGGTTTTTTGAATCTGAAGTAAACATTTTAGCTCATTTTCGTGGCAGCACAATTTTCTATTGAAATTCACCTGTACACAGCATCATATCTTACCGTTTTCTTAGTTTCCGCTACAAACTCCTGAGAAGTTAACAACGGCGTTACTGTATACGCATCCTTTTCCTCTGGCGTGACAATTCTTTCCAGCAACTTAGAAGCTGTCCTTGCAACGAGCAAATCAGGGACCATTCCAGACTTAAGTTTATCCGAGGGCGACAGATGCTTCCGCATTTTTTGTGGATTCACTTTAATTTCGGAGTCTTCTTGGAAGACTGATGGCGGCAAGGTAAACGGTTCATGAGTAAACTTTATTGACATGGGCAGATCCGCATGAGATCTTGGAGTGAAGCCGCTTGGAAAGGCCGTGAGTTTCTTCTTGAACTCTTGCATGAATTTCTTTTTATCGAATTTTTCGCCCCCTAACTTGTGGCTAGCCTTAGAGGTGGCGGTAAAGTTAGTTGTTGGTTGTTGACCTGAAATCACATTTTGTACTAAAATGCATGGATTGTAGAAGCAATAGCTGAACAAAAACTCCTGCAACAAGTTGGACAAGCGGAGAGGATGACAGCCTTTGATTTACCAGTTTCTTGGAAACTCATTTCTTGTTGTTTCTTGTAGTGATCGGGAAAAGCGGTAAGCTGTTTCTTGAATTCTTCCATAAACTTTTGCTTGTCAAATTTTTCCGTGACTTTCGATACAGCAAAAGACGGTATTTGACTCTTTGTAGTGTACCTTTCAGGTTGTGATACGCCTGAAGTGAGCGCGATAAGCTTACAAATTTTCTGAAGCTTAAAATTTACCTATCTTTAAGTCAGACTCTGTTGGAATGTCCGCTGTTTGCTCATCTGTAACCGTCCTTTTGTACCAGTCGGGCAATGCAGTGAGTTTCTTCTTGAATTCTTCCATGAATTTTTTCTTGTCAAAAGGCTCAGAAACGGACTTCACGGCAAAATTGCTTGTTTCCCTATGATACGTCGGAGTTGATGATCGCATGGAAGTTGCTGCAAATAGACTGAAAAAGGTAATTAGCTATATTAATAGACTTCCTTCAGTCAGTAATATGCTTCAGCGTGCAATATCATAGCAGAAAGTTTGGCTTCGATGGAAAACAGTTTGAGCACAGTCCCCAATAAATTGCACACTTCAGGCTGTGCTGGGCTCTACCGGCATACTACGAACGCAAGCAGTAACGTGACAGTGGGAACAGTTTACTTTGCCGCAGGCAGCGTCCCGACAAAGCCTAGATTTAGGGTTTTATTCCAGCCTGGGCGTGACCGTAATGCTCATTTCAAATATGCAGCTTGGATAGTGCGAAAATGTCGAAAATGGGCTTTTCCGAAGCCCCCAAAATTAAATGCGGATTAAGACGCAAAACTTGCCGAGGCTGAAGCGCGGAGTCGTTGTGGGACATTATGGCCGTGACTGCGTGGATATATTCAAACTCTAACCTGCAGCTGTTAGCTAAGTGAGCGGCATTCGCGTTGAAGATAAAGCGCTTGCATCTGAGAGCGAATTCTACTCCACACCACCCCCTTTGCTTCAACTTTAGCCAACGGTGAGGAGGGATTACTATAACATTGCTGCAAGAGTCCGGTACCCTTCAACTGACGCTGCCTTTAAGTTGTGTTTTTGCTAACAATTGAAGCGTTTTTAAAAGGTTTTTAAAATCCTGGTAACTAACCCTGACTCTTCGTCTTTTCTGCTTGCAGGAGCCCGAAAGGGTCATCAGGTGGATACGACTTTCTAAGTGTTGTTCTTGCAGCAAGTTCGCTATAGGTTTCCAGTGATCGATCAGGCATGGTAACACGTACAATTCCATCCTCAGTTATCTCATCCCGACGCTCTAATTTCCCTCGCTGTTTCGATGCAGGAACATCTTCATGGCAAGCATCTCGACAAGATTGCAGTGTATTAAAGAAGTTTTTGTTTCTGACGTTCTTCTCATCGCACGAGCTGTCGTACCAAAATGGTTCGCACTCCTAAAAAGCGGTCAACTTTGCAGCTTTTTACGACTCTATTCGTATATACTGTTTTTTCGTTGTTCCAATAAAACCTCTCAATCCACGATGCATCGATGCATTCGAGACGAAGCACCTCGTCAAAAGGTTTCATGCACACTTCTGAAAAAAGTTCTCATTGTCGGGAGCAGAGAGTTTTTGCATAAGTACAACATCAGAAGCAAATAACATTTTTTCTCGATTTCATGCATTGACACAGCAATACAATAGTGCTTCAAGCTTTTTGGGTCATATTTCTTGCATCTAATATTTAGCCTTTTTTCTACTCCTAACTCTGTTTACAAAGTGACGACAACAACATGCTCTCCATAATAAATGAGTATGGAGCAAGTCTGGAAACAACGGTATTCTTACATGTTTTTTCTCAATTGTCATAATTCGGATTTTGTAAGGTTGTAACAGTAGAAATTACTGAAAAAAGCACTTGCTGAGCAATCGTCGGTACACGATACCGTTAGAGGAAATAAGCTTGAGGAAATTCAGTTGAAATCCCAATCACCGTTCAATCGGAATTTGTTGGTTTTTCAATATTTCAGTGGCCTTAAAATTTGATAATTTCAAGTATTCCTCAGCATGTTGATCGAGTCATGACTCAAGGAAAATTAGCATTTTTAGAAATTTGGGCAATTTACGTTTTACCAACAATGTCATAATAAAAGAATGTTATAGCTTAAAACAAAATCATGGATACAATTTTTCAAAGTAAGGTGGCTTGGACCCTATTATATGACTACCGCAAACCCTATCGTGGGGTTTTTGATCCGCTTGCGCAAACTTGGTAAAATTCTCTCAAAAAATCCTAAAAACTTTCGGATGACATGACCCTTTGGTGGATTTATAACTCCAATGATGCAAGAAACACTCTGTTTTGAAAACAGCAAGAATGAAAAGTGACTTGATAGTGAATGTCATATTTGTGCTCCCGGTCACCTTTTCAGGGTAATGTAACCTTCTTCATTTACGGTACGAGGCTGTTTTTGGACAGGCTTATGGCGCTCGTGCTCAAAAACTCTTCAGACTCTAATGGCTAACTCTTACCATCTTTGGGTTTTGAGGTAGTGGTAGCAATAGCTGCTTTGCCAGAAACCGTTTCCCTTGATAGTTGAGGATGAGCTAAATCGGCGGCAAGTTGGCCTTTTCCTGGTAGTTTCAGACGCTCTAGAATTTTCCCTAAAAATGCCAGAAATCCTTCTTGAGTTCAGCAACGAGAAGTTAGATAGATAGTCAATAAACTAACCACTGATGCCCAGTGCTGGTGCTTCTGTTGTGATTCCATCAAGTCTGAGAGTTTTGCGGCCATTCGCACACAGTGTTTCACAAAGCTAAAAGTCTTCCAATTCGTTCAACTTCTTTATTTACTTTTTATACCTGTGCAAGAGTAAAAATATTTCTCGACACTCCAATGCACCCGCCATAGAAGAATTGTCGACATAATTTAGTCTCATTGTCGTAATAGTATCTGAGAAAATAGTATGAGGGTCCGAGTGAACAGGAAACTAAAACAAAATAAAGAGGAAACAGGCAATATTCTTACCTGAGCTCTTGTATTCCATGATTGCAGTCCTCTTCCGTATATCTCACGTCAAAGGGATCGTTGCAGGAATCTTGAGAGTTGTCGTAAATTTTTGTCATTAGTTGATAATTAATCGTTCTTTAGTTTATTGATACAATAATTTTTGTTTTGATAAATTTCTACTCATCATACTAAAACACGGTGATTACGTGGCATTTACTCGGAACTCGCAATGCAATTTTCAAAAAAGTAGGAAAAAATGAACTCAGTGCAAAAACGTCAAAATATTGGAATCAGAAAGCAGAAACGGAAATTGGGATTTCAATCCAGGAATTTTCGATCAAGCTCGAAAAAACCATGCCAGGTTAGAGGTCTAGACCACTTCATCCTCGTGGCAGTCGTTCGCTAGCTCTTAGATACCAAATATAGACTTTTCTTCATCCTTGCTCCTTTCATTTCTCTCAGGTTTTTTTTTGCAAAAGTGAGAAGTCAGGAGCAAAAAATTGTTGCACTCAATATTCGTAAGTCCGTGCTCCATCATCAGTATAATCAACAATAATTTTTAAATTTTTCTCTATAACCAAAAAAGAGTGCCAATAGAAGAGACATTGACAATGCATTTCGCAACATTACGGTGCAGAGTGAGGCTATGTTCTAAAGAGTAAATTGGTTGACGATTAGTTGCCCCACAGTTTTCCATTTCCAAAATTTTCTTACTTTGCCTGATGGACGTGCAAGCGATTTGCTTCCTCCACCACTGTTTTGAACAGCGTCTCCAAGTTTGAGAAATGGTTCCATTAATTATCTTAGGCGCTCGAAATTTCAAGGCTTCTCCACAAAAGTGGAATCTGATCTTGGTGCACACACTACTTTCATAACACTTTAATTCCTACCTTTCTTAACAGCGCAATCGCCATCAGGGCCGAAACCAGCTGGACAGTCGCATCGAAATGAACCCAAAGTGTTCACGCAGTGGGCATTCGGAGGACAGGCATTCGGCTGGTTGCATTCATTTACATCTAAGTCGTACTCCTGTTCTTTGCCATCTCTTCGCTTGAAACAACTTACCTATGCAAAT